GAATAGTCCTCATTTAAAAGTCAGAACTCTGCAATGCTACAAAATCTGAAACTTATTGATTGTCATGTCAGTGAACAGAGATTTTCAGATTTGAAGGGAGTTTGAATATTCAGGTTCGGGATGCTCAATCTAGTATGTGGGTAATAAAGGAGACGCTCCTTAGTGCTTGGGCCGAGACTCACGTATTAGGAAAGCGAGTCTTCATGATGGCTAACTTATTCTGGCATGGTTTAGAACATATGTATATCATATATGTAATCTTTTATCATAATATGATAAATATCATAATATGATAAAAGATTAGTCATTATGCTTTACTGAGTCTAAATGGTGGAGTTCGGGGGACTTGGTGGCACTCAGTCTGATTTCCTGGATATCTGAAGCTTTTATCGTCATCTGATCAAATGCAGAAGTTCCTCCAGTGAGAGAAGATGAAGGACACGAATGTTCTTCTTGAGCTTGCCTTGTGCTCTGGGAGGAGGCTTTGCTTGCTGAAAGAGAGCATGCAGTGGGTGAATCGAGCCCATATAAACCCGTGAAGCAGTGAATGCCAGCCATACCATCTCATCAGCTCAGCAGGGCACGCAGAGACATTTTTCCCAGCTTCCCCCATACATGGTCTCAGAACAGTGTGAGGGTGGACTTCTGTGTTATGCGCTGTGCCACCAACTTCCCTTGGCAGCTGCAGGGATTCTCAAGTTATTCTGGCTATGCAGCCACTGGAAAGCTAATGAGGCTGAATACTTTCACAGTAAGTAAGGGTATTTTCTCTCAGTGACTTGGCACTGTGAATTAGAATAACCAAATGTAAATGGCCATACCTTTAAAATGAGGGCCTTAGCTACTTACTGTTCTGTTGCTGTGAAGCCCATGTCAGGCTCAGGCTGTCTTGCTCAGTGTCTGTCTGTCTCTGTCCTGCTCCCTTCCCTCCTGCTAATCAGGATGTAGCTGTCAGCCACTTCCCTAGCTGGGCCTTTCTGCATGTTGCCATGCTACCTGGTGTGTTGATAAAGGCCTAACCCTGTGAAACAGTAAGCAGAGCCCCAGTTACATGCTTTCTCTTATAAGAGTCGCCTTGGTAGTGGTCTCTTCACAGCAATTGAACAGTCACAGAAATTGTCATCATGGAGTGGCATATTGTTGTGACAGGCCTGCTCATGCTCTTGGAAGAATATGGAAGATTTGGGGATACTGGACTAGAAAAGCAGTTGGGTGCTTTAAGTGGGGCTGAAAGGGCCATATTTGTGGGAGCATGGAAGGCAGTGCTGAAAGCAACTTGAACTCTGGGGCCCCAGCTCAAGAACTTTCAGAGGGCAAGGTTATTAGCAAGTATCTTAGAGACCATTCTTGTGAACCATCTCTTCAGCCTTGCACCTTTTTATTTCTAGTAAAGACATAGTGGAACAGTTTAAGACAAAGTGTCCTTGTTCCTTGAGAATCTGTACAGCTTTTGTGGACAACCAGTGGAGCCCAGTAGAAAGTTTGCAGTCATGGGGCCTGTACTGAGCCTTCAGTGGAGAGTTGGAGGCTATTTGTAGAATGGAGAGAATGGCAACAGGTCTTTACTAAGCAGGGAATGGAAGAAGTGGGAGCCCGAAGTCCTTGGGGGCTGCCTAGAGGTAAGGAAAAATACGTACTTTCTAGTACTGGACAATATAAATTAGATCTAGGAGTGGACAAAGCTAGGGACTTGCGATCGAAAGAGACTTCCATTACAAAGACATCTGCCTCCCCCAAACCCCTGGTTCTTCCAAAATCTAAAGACAGTGTTCCCTAAGAGAAGAGGGTCACCATAGCCAGTGAGAAAACAGACTACAGAGAGTGACTTGCCGGTGCCTAATGATCTTAGACGATAATTGCCAGATGGTTTGGAAGTGAAACGTGGTTTCTTCTTATGTATCTTCTCCCCAGTCCCCTGATGGCTCTTTTTAATCTGTGTCTTATTCTTTGGCATTTTGTTCGTTTGTGTAGTGAATTTCAGTCATTTCACACACCCCCATCACCATCTGTCTTCCCCCACTCCTTCTGCAGCTGAAATCCTTCCCAGCCCATCCCTCTCATTCTTCAGTGTCTTTCTTCTCTGTGTGAATTACCCACTGAGCTTGTTAGAGTTGCTTCCATGAGCATGGGTAGAAAGTTACTTCCTGCAGCGTGGACGACTTACCCGTAGTTACACCACAGAAGAATGACAGCCCTTTCCCCAGCACTACTAATTGTTAGCAATTTTTAAGGTAGGGGTGGGGCCTCATGTGCCCTTCCCCATTTCGTGATGAAATGATGATGGGCTCAATCTTGTACAGGGAGCCACAGATCTAGGAGTGTTTCTGAGTGTAAAGGCCACGTTGTGACCAGAAGACGTCTATTTGCAAAGCATTTTCCCTTCCTCCATCTCTTCCAGTCTTTGCTTACTCCCTCCCATAATTCTCTAAGCATTGGGAAGGGTGATAACAATGGCCCATTTAGGGTCAAGCACTCTAATATCCTCCCTTCTTGGTAATTCTGCCAGTCTCCGTATTAATCACAGCTTGCTTCAACGAGAAACTTCTCTGACCAAGGCTGAGAACCTAACATGATTTTCTGCATTTAGAACATTAATGTCGGAAGCTGGGAGATGATGCTGAGTAGGGAGGACACAGGCCTCCTGGATATTTTGCCACATTACTGTTATCTTCAGAGTAGTGCAGCTTTGGTTCAACCCTGAGCAAGTTTAAAACCTCAGTGGCTAGTTGAACTCTGTAAACTCAGTTTCATTAAAAACAAAGATAAGAATGTAGTAGTCTTTATATCTGTTATCTATGGAAATGTAAGACATCTCCCAAAACATTTCACCTCGGTGTGTTTCAGTGGCAGTAATATTCTCTGTTTATATATCAATTTTAGTTTGCCTTAAAAACTGACACAAGTATATTTTGTGTTTAATCTCTCTTTAAACAATAAAGTTTCGTGTAACCAGTAGAATTAGGTTAAGCAGATGCGATTTTTTTAGCATGTTAAACTTAATATTTCATTTGAAGGACCATTAGGGTGCCATCCCTAAGACTACTAATAATACAAACCACTTTAGGAGTGATGCCCCGACATAATCCAGCCTTGGGGGACATAGGTGAACGGGACCAGGTTCTGTCCTACTGATTCCACTAACAAACCACTTGGCATATGCCTTGTATTGTTTTCTATAGGCGGAGGCACTATATTGGAGCTTTATTGTTTAGGATTGTTTACTCATTAAAATTGTTTTGGTGTAGTTTCTTTATCGTCTAGGTGGTGTCTCCCGGGTAACAGACTTCATGAAAAGCAGAGGAGTGGCTTACGTGATCAGCTTTACATTAGCCCCTTCCTGGCTATAACTTTCTGTTGCTGAGGTTTTCGTCAGAAAGAATTCGAAACTTTGAACATGCCATCTGCATCTTAATTGCTTAAACCTGCAGACTAGCAGAGGCTATTGTACACTCTCTTTCTTGTAAGACTCGTAAATAATTATGTGAAAATTCACTTCTGAATTTCGATGTTTCCAAATTGCTACAGATTCCTCTCCTATAACCACTCCTCCCCTGACAGTAAGGCGAATAAGGAGATGTGGAGGTGACTTCTATCTTCTCAGTGGCGTAAAGAATGAAACACTTGTTTAAAGCACTCCGAGAAATGCCAACCTTGTACAACTTAGCGGAAACAAACAATATGGCTGAATTACAATCTGATTTTTACTGTGTCGGGAAAAGTGTATTTGATCACTGTAAATCTGGAGGTTATCCTTTTGTGGATGTCACTGTCATTTCACAATCTGTGTGACTGAAATAATTCTTCTGTCGAAGCCATTGCATGTGTAGACAGAACATCAAGTCTGTGTTCTCCTGTGGCCTGAGCCTGCTTGCAGGGTGGTCGGAACGGTAGTAAATGTAGAAGAGGAAACTTGGTTTGTTTTAATATACACATGGTTTCAGAACAACCTGTGTCATGGAGGTAAAGATAGTAGGGACTTGATTTCCCTACAGAAGTTCTCATGATTCCCAATCTCTGTCGTGAAGGCTTAGCAGCTTTATGGGTTGTCTCATTGCCGGGAAACACTCACCCTCAGGACTGTGGTAACCAGAAACATTGTTACTTGATCTTTTCAGAAAAAGTCAATCCAGTATTTTATAACCCAAGGAAAAACTGGAGGAGGGTACCAAAGAAAGGAGGGGAACGGCAGGCAAGTGCTTCCTTCTGGAAGTTCTGTTAGCACACAATCAATGGCCATGTCTTCACTTGCACACATAAGATTCTCTGTTTGGAGCAGAATTTATGCAGTAGCTACAGCTTATGCCTTTTTAAGAGAAATATAATATTTCACATTCATTATCATTTAAACACATTCTATTCTTGATGGATCTTCCTTTTGGCTCCAGTTTGAGACCATTTGCTAAAGTTCAACTTTAGGATTGCGTACTCTTTCAAAATGGTTGTGTCTATTGGTACTTCTGCCAACAGCAAATAAAAATGCTGACATTTGCAATCTTTTTTTCTATCTGTTCTGGTGAATTGGGAGCTCAGGGAGGATGCACGTTGTTGGTGGTTTTAACTTCATTGATAAAGATGAGACTGAACTTGAACTAAGGAGTAACTTACTTACAAATTATACTCATTTGAATAAAAATTAAACTATTCTTTTAATGTTAAGTAGTGGACATTAGAAGGTGGCCAAGATCTATGCATCAGTTTAGACTTAGTTTATCATTCATCTGAAATCATTAATTTTCAGACACGTTAGACCTCCTCATTTGCCCATTTTACAGATGAGGTGACTGAGTCACTTCACAGACTTAGGATCATGCCAGGTGTTTCGTCCTGACCTCTCAGAAGAGTCAGTATGATAATATTGCTCTCCCACTCATGGGAGGCCTCTGTTACTTCTTTTATTCCTTTATTTGTTCAGTATTGAGTGCATAGTGTGACAGGCATTGGGCAGGGTCTCTGGGATTCAGACAGATTTATAATCTAATGATGTCACTATCATATTGCAGGTTACGGCTTTCAGATCACAGCCTATTTCATCAAGAGAGGGATACGCCTTCGCTGTATTCAGAGCTCACAGAACACTGGTAAGAATCCAGTTTCTTGGACCAGGCATTTCCATAATCAGTTTGTCCAAAAGAAGATTGAAAATAGGAGGCTAAATGTTCTTATTTGCTTCTGTGGCTACATCATTTAGTATTTCAAAGCATATGATCCCTCATGCTCCATGCATAGTGCTTACTGCCCACGAGAACAGAGAGCAGAACCACGGGACGCTTCTTCCTAATGCATCACAAGGGATTCCTTGGGTTTCAAAAGTGACTCAGTCTGCACGTGAACTTTGATTCATTTTCCCAGGTTTGGGGCAAATGAGCTACAAGAAAGTGCTTTCCCAGCCCAAAGCCAGCAAACCTTCCTTATGTATTTAATGAGGCCAGCTTCCAACCCTCACTTCTGCAAGTCATGATACAAAAAATGATATCATGTCCAGTCAGCCACAGTGACATCAGGAGATAACAACCATTCCCTCTGTGCAGATCTGAACATTAGAAAGTTTAGCTTAGCTATTTTGGACAATGTCTTTATGAATATAAGATATGAAACAATGACTTTGAAATTGCCTTCATGGAAGTTTGCTCATAAAAGTACATGTCTGTACTTTTTTGTTGCTCATTACCCTCTTTGTTTCTTTTTTAAAAGGTTATTTTTATTTTCTGTGTGTGAGGTCTGCCTGCATGCATGTATATATGTTTCCAACATGTGTGCTTAGTATCCTTGGAGGAGAGAAGTGGGTATTGGATCTCCTGAAATGGGAGTTTTAGATGCTTGTGAGCCAACATAATGGGTGCCAAGACTCAAAGCAGGTCCTCTGGAAGAACAGATTTTGCTCTTAACCACAGATTCACCTCTCCAGCCCCTATATTAGCCTTTTATTGGAGTCATCTACCTTGTTTACCTCACCCACAAAGTTAACCCTCTAACTCATACAGTGCAGTCTAGCTATGTGTTCTGGTCTGGACTGATGTTTAAATCTTTATTTATGTATTAAGGTAACATAAATCAATTATTATATAATCAAGTAAAGTGATTGAAAAAGCTTTTGAATTGATTATCATAATCTATTCTATCTTATTCAAAAGTATTCATGATTATCGCTCTTTTTTGAGATGAAAAATAGAAATACAATATAAATGGAGTGATAATCTTGAATTTTAATTCTCATCTCCTAAATAACATTGTACTTTAATTTTTTGATTTATTTATAAGGAAGAGAAAGGACAAATAATGAACAGAGGCTACTTACAACTTAATTCCAATCCCAATAATTTATTTCAAGAATTAATACATAAATAGTAACTGTTTCTATAATTTTGTTCTTAGAGCTTTCCAAAAACTATCTGAGGTCTTCATTCATACATAATTTCTGAATTATAGACACACCCATGACCCCACCTGCAATAAAGCCTTCCTATTGGAGGCCTGGTTGGCTGAGACCAGAACAGCAGATTGGGCTGAAGTCATGAATCTGAATCTGAATCTGAAAATGAATCATGAGTCTGAATGTTGGCACATCCTTGTTAGGTAGCGGGAGCCAGGTGAGGCAGGATGGGTGGAGCGTTTGCTTAGAGCATTTGACCTGTTGTGATGAGATGCATAGTTTAGAACAGTAGTCACCAAAGAAACACCAGTGTCCCAGGGTCTTAGTAGAACCACTCCAGGAACATCAGTGCTCTTGCTGTTTTGTACACTTTGACCTAGCCAAGTGGTATAAGGTATTACCTGTATTCATATTGTGCATTTGTACAATTCATGTCTCTGTGATTAACTGACAGTTGAACCAAATGGAAGCACGTTACTATCTCATTCAGTACCTCACATGTAAAATATTGAAAGGGCCCCCTTACCAAACAGGAGTTCTAAACAGAAAGTAGCATCTAACACAGAGAACAATTATAATGGCCTGCCTGGAGGTTCTGTCTGTTCTGATAGTTCAGTGTCTGTGGTTTACCTTGGCTCTTCCTCAGCTCACTCTGCCCAAGTGGTGGAAACCCTACAGAGAGAAGGAGGGAGAAGAGACCCCAGTCCCAAGTATGCGCATCTTGCCATAACAAAGCATTACCAAAGAACCTGGGAACGAGAATTTCTATTTGCATGGTATTAATGCTTTTAGTAACTTGGTCTTCTTTGTTTTGTACAGAACTTCGTATATTTCCTGACAGATTTGTGGTCTGTGTTAGTCAACTTGCATTCGGTCCTGATACTTGGGCAAGCCAGAATGAAAAATCGGTATGTATGAAAAATATTATGTGTGAGAATCTTCTTAGTGCTAAGTAACCGTGGTGGTAGCTGTGTGTGGTGGTAGTGGTGGCGTGTATGTGGCAGTAATATACGGTGGTGGTGGCGTGTGTGGTGGTAATGTGTGGTGGTGTATATGGTAGTGGTGTGGGGGGTTGCCTTCTATTATCGGCTATTCAGTGTGTTTTAAGAGGTTAGAAATGCCTTGCCTTCTGTTTTGCATGGTAACATTGATCAGTTCATGAATTTGTTGATTAATATGTTGGGTTTTTGTTTCTTTCTTCTCTAATACCATGAATATTTAATTTGATAACCAGTATCTTATCGCTTTCAACTTTAAATGAAGCAACAACACATGAGAAAACCTTGATGGTGTTTGTGATGGTATGTAAATGAGAAGAAGCGAAATCTGTGCCTCCCCTAGAAGTTTCCACTGGGGTCAGTGGCTTCTGAATTGTATTCCATGGTGAATCACTGGCGTTTTTCATGAGAACTAGTGTTTCTCCCCAGTGTATTATTTCAGAGCTAGTAGAGTTCATTTTCTCTTGCTCTCTTTTCTCATGCTAAGCTTGAGCTCTATCAGGGCCTCGTTCTCTTTCACTGGAGTTCTCTGCTCAGACAAATAGATGTAGAAAACCTACTCAAAATGTTGTAGCTTACAACTGTGTCTTTTAAGCTTCTCGTGTGCTTTTGACAGTGTCCTTGTTGTGTGTGTATGTGTCTTCCTGCCGTCATAGTTCAGCCTATTTAACTTGTCCTTAAAAAAATAAAAAAAAAATTTAGATCTCTGGCTTGAACCTTCAATGAACAGGAAAAAAAATATAGAAGATATTAACCCAGCTATGAAGTATGACATGATTATTATGCTTCTAAAATAATTTATGGGGATATTAGATTATCCCTATTGCTTATTATTTTTTAACCCATTTGAAATTTGGCCCTTATAGTATAAAATCAGCTTCTTATCTCATCTTAAGTAAATACATAAGTGTTTCAGAGGCTCTGTGAGACAGTAGAGACCCAGAAAGAGCAAAGAACTGAAAATTCGCCCTTGCATTTGGTTCCTTTGTTTTGAACAGAGGATCCTTTCAAAAAAGCCCGTGTAACCCTTTTATTTCCTCTTCGTCCATCAAAAACAGTCTCTCTATGTAAACATAAAATAAGATCAGTGAAGCAAATCTGGCCAAAGGCAGTAAAAGTTTATTTTTTAAAAATATTTTCAGGACATTGCTTTATCTTAGTAAATTAATAAATACTAAAGTAATTCTGTTGGCATATATTTTAATAAAGATTGCTTAACTGATTTTTCAGAGCAAGAAAAAAATTGATCTGTAGTTTAAAAACACAGCTAGAACTAAACTGCCAGAATGTTATTGCTTGCAGATGGGATACAGGAGAAATCAGATCTTATATCTGACGTGTAATGGTAATACTCAATATCTTAAATTGTTAAAAAGGAATTAAAGCATCTGAATACAAATGAAACATTATCCCCTTGGGGGACTCTAGTATTTATACAGATGTAAGTTTTCCGAAGCTGCTGTTATAGAATTCCTGCAATCTGGAGAACTTCCTCATCACTGAAAACTTTCCTTGTGAACCAGTCTTTCATTTCATTTAACCGTCTGAACACTTTACATGGGAACTCGGTTTCCTCGTCTTTAGCCTGTTCTGATCTTTATTGAGTACACGATCAAAGTTGCCCATATTAGTGCATAAGAAAAGTCATTTATATCTCACAGTTCTTTCTTTTTTGGGGTGGTTCATTTACTTATGTCTCACTTTCTCTTCACATACACTTTCTCAGCAGCACAGACACGAGTCAGGGAAACAGAGTCGAGCAGGTAACTACGCCATTGCTGCATGTGCTCCTGTCTCACCGAACAACTCCCCTCCTCAGAGCCTCCCGCCCACCACTTTCTCAAGTGTGTCTGCCATAGCTGTGAATAGCCAGGCCCTCCTGCAGACCCCTCATCAAGCCGGTCATACTGCCTTCCCCCTCACTAATATCTGACCTTTTGAGAGTCCACCTTCCCAGCTATTTAGGGGTCAGTCAGCCATCTTTCCCTCCCCAATGCCTCCTGCCAGAGAAGAAATTCATTCTCATGATGAACTCCAAATACCCAAACACAGTGATATCAGTTCCCTCCTCCACAAGAATTCGAATTTCTTTTCATTTTATATGATCACAAGAGGGCAGGATCCATCGAATTTTCTCCTGATAGTCATTCTCAAGGAACTTCTGATTAGGAAGGCCTGAGAACTTGGCTCCCCACGTAGCTATATTGGCAATAAACTGCAGTTATTTTCTTATAATTGTTTATGACTCAGTGTTTTACATCACAGGATTAATGGGGAGTGGTCTTGTTCTTGATAGCAGCCTCAACCTCTCACTGGTACTGTAGCCCTCAGGGAGGTTTCCTTTAGTTTCCTGTGCTCTCTAGGCCATCTGTGTCTTAAGTGAGAACTGACTAGGAAATCTGGGAGCATCTATTGAAAACTACTTTGCCTAGGGAGTCTTTCAGCCTTCAGAGTCGGAAGCCAGCAGTATATAACATGCCAGTTCTTCAGGGTAGCTCCACCAAAGAACATGTCCCAGATCAGGCAGCACAAAAGAGGCAGAGCAGACTGCGAGCCGTTTCTGCTGTTCCTTTACCACCGTGCTAGAGAAGTATGTTCACCGTATCAACTTTCTCTGCCCATGGGGGACAGACAGTAGAAGAAGGGTCCTCCGTGTTGCAATAGCCCTGCACGGCGTTCTTATGTTTGGCATGTGGGAACTGAGCTCTGTACTTTGGGAAGCAAGGGCATTATTATGAAATGAGTCACTGTATTTTTCTTACTAGAGTTTCTCATAAGAAATCTCAACTCTCCTAGAGCCTCAGATCTGACCTTCTGCTGGACGTGGCGCCTGAGTCTTTCTGAAAGTTCTCACCTTTGCTGTTCTGTTCACTTCTTCAGATTTTACTGTACTTGGTTCTATTCCACACTATTAACTTCCCTCCTCTCTCTCTCTCTCTCTCTCTCTCTCGCTTTCTTTTTTTCTTTCTTCCCCTCTATCACAAACTTAAGTCTCCTGTGTAGAGACTGTTCCTTTTCAGTTGTAAAGCCCTGGAGGTTTGGAGAAATCTGAAGTTACTTACTAGTTCCTGTGACTTCTTTATTGAAGTTACGTAAATAGGCACCGACCTCTGTATATATCTGGGACATTTCAGGGTCACTGCAAAGCTACTGTTTGATTGTGTGCTAGTTACAAGCCACTCCTAGTCTCCAGAGACCACGGTTCCCATCTACTCGACCATTGCAAGGAACAAAATGTTCTGGGTGCTGGCTCTGTACCAGGGTCTCTATTGGGCTTCAGTGACAGAAAAATAAGAAAATACTGTTGCCTTCTAACTGCTTATAGTCTGGGAGATTGACACATATCCGGGTCACCTAAAATCATTTTATACCCTTTCTACTGTTCCAAAAGAAAGTCCAGAATTTTAGACCTCCATTCTTTCTTTTAAAGCTGCACTGTGTTAAAGTTTGTGATCCCTTTGTAAATTAGAAAGTGACAAACGGTATTAGTGCTGCCCTAAAAGCAGACCAGTGCATTAAGGTTTTATGGTTTTCCATCTTGTCCTTCACCTGACTTGTGGCTGAGCTATGAAAATAGCTGTCGAGATTGCACACACACCGCAGCTCTCAGGGCAGGGTCCTCTCTGTAGCACAGACTATCTGAAAAGTTTACTAAGAGGTCCTGGCCATCAACAGCATTTAAACAATGAGTTGAATACTTCTCTTAAGCCAGGCTACTAAAAAAAGAAAAAAAAACCACCTTCTCATTTATAAATATAAGATTGAAGAAAAAATTATCTCAAGCAATAAACTGCCCTAGACTGAGTTGTATTTAGCATGGGCCTTACATTCCTCTGCTGGCTCAGTCCTCCTCCATATGAAAGAGAAGGTGGAACATTATCCCAGAAATCCTTTCTCACACAGACTCTCTGTCAGGAAAGGAAAATAAAGATGAAAATGCACTAAATAAGAATTTTAATATGATTTTTACCAACATAGAGTTTTTTTTAATGCAACAATAATCTTGCGGATCGAGTCACATTTTATTTTAGGAAAGGTAAACAAAAGTTATAAGAAAAGATTTTAGAATTACAGGTTTTTAAAAAAGGAATAGAAGAAATATACTACTTGAAAATTCGAGTGTTCTAACTGAATTCTGTGCCGTGATGAGAGGATAAGTAGTCCATGACTTTGCCAAGTTTTGGATGAAGTATCATAGACTTTAAAAAGCCACTTGTCCCTGACTATACTTCTGGTTCATCGTGAATTACACGGAGCTGTCAAGATGTTCCTGCAACACTTGGGAAAGGCCCTTAAGTTTGGAGGAAAGGCAGATCACTTGTTCCCATTTTCTAATATTTCAAACTTGGTTCTTTCTTAGCATGTGGTTACCAAACTCCTGTATGTTCATTGCGCCAAAAGGCTAAATACAAACACACTCAAGGAAAGCAAAAATTACCCCTGACTTCCAGCCCAAAGAACCTCTGTTTCCAACCTGATCTTTGTTTCTTCAGGCTTAATAACTAAGGTCAGTGCATATTTATTTTTGCTAGGATTCTATTCATTTATAAGTTAGTTTATTTCCACTTTTCTGTTGATGTTCTATTGTATATATTTCTACTTACTATATAAAATATCCTCATCAAGTAAGGAGAGTAATTTGAAGTGAGCTTATCATCTGTCTTTCAATTACATGTCATTGATGTGTGGCAGGAAGCGTCTGTGTCTTTTCCACAATGATTTCTCCATGGAAACTCTTGATGTTGTATTTTTACATAAGATAAATATTTTCTACAATCTATTAGTTTGAGATGTGAAGTCCTTTTCACTCTGTATGGGGACCAATGTCATGCTAATCATGATCTATAGGTTTCAAGAGAAAGCGACATTCTGTTACTTCCACTGATGGGTTCACCATCTAGGTCTCATGC